TCCGGAGTTTTGCAAATATCTCAGCACTTCATACGAGTTATATTGCACAACATACCCTGCCATTAAGAAGAAAAAGGCAGTAAATAAAAGAGTTAAGTTAATGAAATTGTTTGTATAGAGCCGTTCATAATGAGTGTTAGCGTAGATGAAATCGACAGGAAAGTTTTTCATATCTAGGATAATGTTCAAGGATAGGTGACTCCTACATTAGCGCATAAAATTCATTCAAGCAAATAGAAGAGCTAAGTGAATGTTTCGGAAGCTCCCCATAGAAATATGCTGTTACATTCATATTCTTACCATGAGTTGCAAATATGAAGATGTCTAACAAAACGGATTTCATCTATATGTCACTGGACAATGCAAGGTGAAAACCAGGATTTTATGCTTTGTATAGAAACTAGTTACCGTACTATTGATGTTAGAACTTAAACAGGCATACCACGAAGTTTTGCAAGCTTTTTTAGAAGTTGCTTGAGGGGTTTTCTACGTGCTGTACTGAACTAATGGCACCCGCCTCTATCTATTCCTTTTTTGAGCAATAACTTGAACTGGAAGTAACTCCACTATAGACGGCAGAACCTACATTTTCCGAATCATCTCGACTCGTTCGCGCTTTGCCGATTTGTCCTCGTTCGCCTGCTCTTTGATGCAGTGTTTCGTATCCTCCCCAACCACACGCCGATACTGTCTATTGTGATTGTAGTACCTGAAATCTGCTTTCTTTCACCAGATCGGGATAAGGATACGGGGCGGAATCAAAAGTCAATATCATGTTTACTAAGAAAAAGGCAATTCAGGGATTCATTTAATTTTATGCGATTCTCAAAACGTGAGCTGTGAAAGAAGTTATTCTTTCATGAACTACATGAGAACTTAGTCGGAAATTCTCTTATGCTTCTCAGAAAGGTAGTGGAAGCTCGGCACCTAACTCCTAACGTGATATTGTCATCTATCACTTTTTGCAACATTTTTTTACTAGCTAATTACGAAAGCCAAATCCTTTGCTTCTATCCGAAGTTTTGATTGTCAGATTTTGTTCACTAACTTATTGAATTCCTCTTCTTGAAGCCGAGAGGCGATGCTCTGGTCTTCGATTTCGCGGAGGCGCTGCCGTACTGAATATAAATGTTTTAATAATATTCGTTATTAGAAATTATTTCTCTTCTCAAATCATTAAACTGAAGTTCTGTGATCACATTTGTGAAACTCCAACGCGCTCTGAAGTGTAGCGGATTATTTCGAGAGAAAAGTAAAGAAGTTCTTCAATCGTTATTTACTCGATTCTATTGTAAATGTATGAATGGCGCAAAGAAGTCGTATCCTTTGTCTTACAACTTTAGATTCTTCGTAACGACTACCGCAATGGAGCTTCAAGTTAACAAACGAGCTTCCTCAGCATATTTTTGTCTACGACCTCGCTCGTTGTTGCTGCAGTGTTACTCATACCGGCTGAAGAGACATCATCAAAACATGAACTCCGACGCTATTTCGCATCGAGTCCATCGTACTCAGTGCAGCCAGCGGTTTAGTTGTTACCGTAGTCGAATAGGTGAAGGCTTGCTCGACAATGGACTGGCTGATGCAAAGGGGTGCTTTTACAGCATCAATAAGGTCTGTGGTAACGGAACCACACGGGAGTTGCCTGGGCGACACCGGCTGTCTCTGGAGCGGTACAGAATTATCCAAAAGCAGTGAAAGATCCTCACAACACATCCCACTATTATCACTACATTTGAAAGTGATTTGAATACTTCTTGTTGGTCGATCTTTCATATCTAAATATATCCGTTCACGAATAAAACATTATGAGTTCCATAAATTTACGAAAAGTTTATGTGTTGTGCGTATCAGTGGAATTAAAGATGAATAGGAATATTTGTAAAGAGTGAAAAAACGAACTTTCCGCGAAAGAGCGATTCTCATCCATTTCTAGCGTGATGGACGGCTATGCATCCTTCCTAAATCCAAGCTCACAAGTCTTTACTCCACTGGCTAATCAGGCGCTTGGGCTGAATAGGATATTCCTTAAAAGATAGACAAATTTGCTATTACTGAGTGATCATTTCGTTTATTGAGGTTACAAACTTTAAATTTATAAGTTCATTATCAATATAATAGAGAGAGGTTAGTAAATGCGAAGGAGTTTCACGAAAGATTCATGAGAGGTTTCATCAAACTTTCTGAACTAGAAGCCATGAGCGATAATGAAGACAGGTTGGCTAACCTTAGAACATAGGAAAACGACTGTATGTTGATACTATTAGAAATTTTATAACCAGCTATATTTACTTGATCACTGATTCGTTTTCTGCGCATTGTTTGGTCAAAAATTGTAGAGTGTAAGGCGCCCTCAAGCTATCAAGATTTCCGAGACAAAGGTAATTTGGTAGATTTTTGGAACTTTTGTGAAGGTGTAGGCCATTTGAGATCCTCTAAGAAAATATTTCCGCGCTAATAATAAAAGTGTACAGCTTCGAACTGCACAAAACAGCAATGATTTCACTCATTCAGACATCTCAGACGTTGCTCTGCTTTGAAATGGCAACGCTTTGGCAATGAAGACGATCACATCAAAGATTCCGAGACTCCAAATCGTGAAACCCTCAACGCTTCATGCCGTTGTCGTGATTTTTCCATCATACTCTTTGGCCTGGCGTTATTCCAAGATTCATTGAGACTGAGTGTCAACGCGTCGTCGCCCATAAATCCCATCGGCATGGTATTAATCACTTTCTTTTCCACGTTTCATTTTAATCAAGAGCAAATAGGTCTTACAGTTTCACAGTGGTTCTGGACTATTATGGATACGATGAGGCGCAAACAATGTAGTGGTTAGAGGTGCCCTGTAGCGCACACGCACTCTTTGGCTCGATCCCACGTCCCAGGCTCACCGATCCTTCCCTTCCAGCGGGGTCGGTGGAATAGTAGCGGACTGATCTGAAGGATAGCAGCAATGACTGGAGAGATAACTAGGCCACTGTAAGTGATTTTATATGCCAGATATGCATTCAGTTACCTCTAGCCATGCTTGCAGAAGGTGACTGATCAATGCTGAAGGCTTTGAAACTTCTACAGATATGATATAATCCAAAAACTGAAAGCTTAAATGTTGTTCACAAAGACAGAGAACTATGCTGAAACGTTAAAGTCATTTTTTGTCTGCAAAAAACTTCCGCTATGAATTTCCCGGAGCTTCGTCTCCTCAGTGTACGTGAGTCAGTGTAAGGTTATTTGTAAACTGCCAATATCTTTGAGTCGCCTGGACCCGCGACAACGAGAGGTCAGCGGTCCGTCACGTCATGCATTCGGCGCATATTTTACACCCTTCACATGGTCGGTTAGGCTCCCCGGGAAACTCGACGTGATAAATTTGCTAGGGTTCTTCCAGTAGTCAGAAAGCTTCGATCTCGGGCCACATTGCCATAAATTCAGTTTCCGAGTGCCCTACTTGCTCACATCGTTGATATTATAGCTCTATTCAGGATACTTCACGAATATTCTAGGGAATTAACAATGCCTATGAACATTCTTAAGCAAATCGTCGTTTCTTTACTTGCCAGTTTTACAAGAGATTTACGCTGAACGAAAAGCTGAACTCTCGAGAATAAAATTCATCTAAACCAAAATGACTGTAACTTGAACCATCCAAAGATCGTCATAAATGTCTTACAAAAAAGTGTCCTTTGGTTCGCGAGAAGTGCACAATATAAGAGAATTTTAGTAAGAAAAAATTTGGAACAAAGAGGCGAAAGGTGTGAAATCCAGGAAAGCCACCACAGATGGCCACTGGAAGAGGAATGCCGTCTCTTGTTAGCTATTAGAAGTTGGCCACGCATTTTGGGGCCCTACCAGAAACGGTTCCGTTTTGTGATATTTGTAGAAAAGGAGGAAGCTATAGGCGGGAAAATCACCAAGTGAACTGAACTGAAAAGGAGGGCCGACGGCGGAATGGCGATGATTCAGCGGAGTATAAACAAACTCACACCGCATATTTACCATTGAGCAGCGACTTTTCGCAGAATTCAAAACGCCTGAAAAGAAGAAAAAGTGTAACCAATATTTTTCCGTGACGAATATCCGAAGAACTCTGCTCAGAATATCAGCGAACAGCAGCAGCAGTGAAGAGGAGCCAGTTGGTTTTTGTGAGAACATCAATGAAAAGTGTACAAATACAACAGTCAGAGGGAGAACAAAGTCATGGCTTAATGGCAAACTTACACAACGTTCCTACGAAAGTCTGCTGTGGCTAGCATTTGGGGTCTTATTCAGAGCTTTCCTAGAAGTGAGTGAATAGTCTGTTATAGAAGAAATGCCATGTGGTGATTTGATTAGCACAAGACTACAAGTCAAATTTACACTGAGGCGAAATGGAGAAGAGTTGTAATCTTTTCAGAGGATAGGCGAGCAAAGCAAACGTAACAGAGGCCCTGTGAACTAGCACTATCGATATCGATTGATCAGTATCAGTTGTATTGATGTTGAGAGCAACAGGTGGTAGAAAAGATGTACTTTATGAAAGTGTAGCAGCAAGTGTTTAGTTAGCAAATTTCTTTTTTTAAATTTTCCTCTTTTTTTTAATTTTAAATTCTAGTTTTCTAATTTTCTTTAAATTAAATCTTTAAATTTAAATTTAAAAAATAATCTTTAAATTTTAATTAAAGTCTAATTTTTAAATGATGAGCAATCCACCGACAGACCGTTCTTTTATGTAGGAAACAGCTTCCAAGTTCGCGTGACGTGCGTAGACATTTATGGAGATCTAGCGTTTGCAATGACCTTTCTTCATTTACTGTGTAGGCCTCTGCGCCTCCTTCATTCGCTTCATTGTCTCGCATCGGTTATCTGTCCATACCCTCGGTTTCGACTGTGGATTCAGTTCCTACGCCTCCGCTCCTTCTTAGGTGAACGTCGTTGGATGTTGGTCGAGTAGATTCTCCTTGAAATCCTCAGATAGTCATGTCAGGGCGTTCTTAGGTCCTCACTATAGGGAGTCGCCTGACTTTATGTGCCAGAGCAACTTTCCGCAAAGATGGCTGGTACCAAATTTCCAATTCCATTGGTATGAAGAACTCGATTAGAGCAATGTGGGGGTCAAACCATTGGATGTAGTACGCTTGTGACGTGGCATCTCTAGCCGGTGTTCTTTTCGCGCCATATCCAGGTCCTAACGTTTATTGTTGACAAGAATGAAGTTGTATCAAATGCGAAGGGTAATCGTTACCACAATGTTCTACCGTTATGAATACAAAGACAAAGTCTCTTGCCGGGAATCGTCTAGAAGCGAAGCGTACGGGAGCTTGGCTTTCTACTCTCTGTTGTGCTAGATTGAAACACAATTCTTGAACGTTGCTCAGATGATTTTCCAGAAAGAACTGACTTGAGAAGTGCACCAAAATCAGGAAAATTGTTTAAGAAAAAGAATGAACATTTAGAATGAGTGATTTTTATGAAGAAAACGAATTATCAAAACTGTGCGATTTTCCAAAACAAATGAATATCGAACCCTCGATTACTCTATCCGGGGCTCACGTGTTCTGAACTGCACCACCGAGGCCCTCGTTCTACCATTCTTTTAACAAGTCTTTTTAGCGTAACAGTATCATCAATCATCGGTCAACAGGAGTCAACCGAGGAGCATAAATCGGCATTGAACCTGGTTAAGCTCAGGCTGCAGTCGAAATCACGTAGTCTTCATTTTTATTCGCTGCCTAAATTTTTCATGCTGTTAGCACAGCTAGAGTAAAAATACGGTAGAGAGAAAGGCAAGGAAAAGGCGCGGTTGGTGTGGTGCATAGCAGGCGAACCCCTGGAAGGGTTACAGTGGGTTCGAAGCTCACTGAGTCCCGAGTTTTGCTCATAACTCAGCGTCATTGTGGTTGTATTTCACATAATAACTTGCTATGGAAAAGTTAACAGTTGTGAAACAACAGTAAGATAATAGTAAAAATAACGAAAGGCAGTAAATAAAAAGCTGAACGCTATTCAAACTCTGTTTGGTATAAGACATTATAGTAGATGTAAAGCTTTCTTCGCTAGAGGATAGGAATAGAATGGCGAAGATGCAACGCCTCGTCCTAAACCAACCATTTAGCAACGGAAGCCAGAGGGGGTTTCAGAACAGGACGGAGTTTTGGCAAAGCCACACCGCTGTGACGTTCTGGTAGCGGTCAAACGTGACCCAATCAATGTACGGATAGACAGCTAGCTCTTTTTGCTAATTTGGCTGAAGAATAGTTGTTGAATTATTTTCCTGCCCTTAGGGAATGTCTCCATCACAAGTTGGAAGGAAGGTGGAGCGGTTGTGGCATTCGATGTTCATTGGAGATCATCTAACGGTACAATTTAAGCAGTAATGGTTCAATAACACAATTCCTCCGCACATCTTTTCGGATTGTTAAACTTAGACGAGGTTGATAAAGAGATTTACTCGGCTAACGTTTCGACTTCTTCGTCTTTTCAGAGCATATGAGCAGATTCGCTAGTCCACAGTTGTTCGTCTTATCGATGTGTCACTTTAGTCGTCGTACCGAGATGGATTTTCTTCAGCGGAGTACAGCTCAAATGAAGCAATACGGCAGCCATCCTGTATAAAAGATCGCTGCCGTGTGGGCTCGTCTCGTTCGAACGATGCTCAACTGAAGAAAATCCGTCTTGGTACGGCGACGAAGACCCCACATCGAAAAGAGGAACAACTGTGGAGCAACGACTCGGATCATCAGCTCTGATGAAGACTAAGATGTCGAAACGTTAGCCGAATAAATCTCTTTATGAATCTTGTCTCTTGGACCTGGCTAATGAAGAGATCCGAATAGTAATTGTGAATGATATTCTTCAGTACTCCTCTTGAAGCTGTTCCGCTTGGGCGTCAGAATGGAGTCGTGTTGGTCTTGTGATTGGCGAAATTTGGGTGGGTTTTGCGAATACTTT